GGCCCCCGATGGCGAGAGCAAACCGAAAAAGAGCAACGACGATTTCCGCGCTATGCTCCAACAAAAGCGTCCGGAATGAAGTGTAAGTGCAATGACAGTGACAATTCCTGGCGCAATTCTTTTTTCTTTCTACGGCATGTATTCGGCTGGCGTTTTTCTGTTTCCTGGTGATCATCTTGATGCTTCCTTTAGATCCGCATGTGTTCATCCGGGTCGGTCTTTTGCGTCATGATCCCTTATTGTTTATGGCACATGCCGTCGTGTACATTATGACTGTATCTTGCTCTTAGTTCTAATGATGATGTCTGTTCTAAAGGGCTGTCTCTTGGGACATTGCCCCCGATGACTTAAAAGTTGCGCGATGGTCTATATGGTATTTTTGTGTAGTGATTCTTTAGATTTGACTGTATGAATTTCTATATTATTCACCAAGTATGCTATACATCATGCAGCTATGTACGTGATTGGATTAGATGTCACGATAGGCGCAGTGCGCATTGACGTCAACCGGCTTGGCCTACTTGGCCTTGAAATTGTCTGCGGGGAAAGAAACCCAGTTTTGAATCCATTTGATACATTCTGATGTTGCACAGAGCGATTTATTGCGACCAAACAACATAACCCTTTGTTATCTCCCTTATACATTCCCTCCTAACCTCCTTAAACTCCAGCCGCGTGACCCTCTGAGGCTGTCTCTTATCTGACCCGATTAGCCCACCCCCGTTTAGTACTTCACATCCCTTCCCTTGCCCGCATCGTTTCTATTTCCTGTGTTTTGCTAGGGGTCTAGTGAGACTTCTCAAACTATTCACTGCTCTACACTCGATGTGCAGGGCTGGCACCAAGCATCGTGAATATCCCACGCCATCGCATCCCCCGCCGCGATGGACTTCCACCTAGTGCCTCGCGGTACCGATCGGAACTACACAGGATTCCTCACAAAGACAATAGTCTACATCGGGACACTGGTGATATTTTTGGCCTGTAGGCAGCTTTCAGCGCCCAGCTAGACATCTGCATTTACTAACCAAATCTCCCAGCATTTGGCTTGACAGTATCCTCGATCGTCATTCCAAAATGGGTCAGCTACCATAGCGAAAAGGTACGACGTTCAGCCCCTACCCACCAACAAGCTTCCAACTAACACTATGGATCTATAGCCCGACAACCATTACTCCTACGGCCTTCACCGCCGCTGCTCCTCCCTCACCGATACCTGCGAGAGCTTCCCACAACGCGAAGACTGCCATGGCGAAGACCGGTACTTCTGCTCCATGTGGCGCTCCGTGGGGTTCTTGGTGTCCTTTGCTGTCGTTCTACAGGGCATAAGCATAGTCACCTACCTGGTCATCCTGAGTGGCGGGAAACGGCTGCGTGAAAATGGGTGGAGTGTTCTTAGTTTGATGGTTGGTCTCTCTGCCATTGTGCAGGCAGCTGGCATGTCGATAGTGGTGGGTTAATAGCATTCTCATATATTTGGGCTCAAGATGAATTGTCCTAATGATTTGGCTTACAGGCATATCTATTCGATAACGAGGACCGGTTCTTCGTCGGCTGGAAACTTGACCAGTCCTGGATCCTTTGCACTATTAGCTGGTGCTTAAGTGTTTTCTGCGCAGGCGTGGTTATTGTGGCTGCTAAGGTCTTACCATCAGAGGGTGGGTATGAGTTGATTCCTGACCATGATGAGTTTCAAGTCACTTGATGGCGCCCTGTGTAGCATTCATGGCACCTGAACGGATCACGCGTTACGCAAACAGGCGAAGGAGACCTACCCAGGTATCTTTGGCCCTTGACGACTTCTCATAATTCTGTTATTTCAGTCTTTGCGGATTGTTGACGCTTTTCTATCTTTTGATCTCGTGCTTCGGCGTTGGGGCTGTATACATCTTTTATCATTCCGAGCTATGGTAGGAACAACTAATATGGATAACGATTTGAATAAAATATCTTCCTGCGGGCTTGTGTATCTACAGCCAGGTTCAGTTTACTATAAATCAAATCATATCTTCGTGGATCGTTTTTGTGACCTTACACAAGACCATCAATGATAAATCCATCTAAAGATAGGTAGGAAAATACAATGTGACGTAGAAAGAAGCTTGTTCTTTCATCTCATACAGTACATTCCCTCCGATAGGATGAGTTGACCTACCAGACGATTTCTTTCCCATTTAATCCCTCAACACCCGGAATCTGTGGCCGCAGCGCCTGACCATAGTCACCCCCGTTCGGCGTGCGAAGCAGAGTATGAATGTGGAATTTCTTCGGTTCCTCATTATTCAAAAACACACCGGAATGGTGATCAAACTCGACAAGAATCACCGGACTCTGAATACGGTAATAGAATGGATCCTCATCACCATACCCTCCAATCCAACAAAAGTACGTCTCCGCTTCGTGCGCACGCACCTGATCAATCTTCATAGCCCGCGATTGAGCCGGCAGGTAAAGCAGATATTGCTCCAGGATGCCATACATGAGTTCTTTCTGAGTAGCATTAAAAGTCGACGCGAGGACACCCTCGTACGGCACCTCACGGTTATCACGGTACGCACCGCACAGATGGCGCTGGTCATCCTTATTCCAGCGACCGGGCGGCATAGCCGGATCCTTCATGTGGACGAATACACGAGCGGAAGCCTGCAGCTCCGCCGAGAGTGACTGCATTAACTGTAAACCGAGCTTTTCCTCGATCTGCATGATACGCGTGCCGGCGTGCGGGCCGGCGTCGATCTCGTTTGGCTCTGCGCCTGTGAACCACGGTGACGCGACGATCTGTCCTTTGTACAGGAAGATGTTTAGACAGAGATGGTGGCCGTAGAATGACCAGCCCCAGGGACGGGTGGTTGATGGGCGGCCGAAGAGGACGAAATTATATGAGAATTCGTTCATCACTGCTGGTGACTTGACTAGTTCGCCGAGGAAGTGGTTGATGCGCATTGCGCTGACAGCCTTTGCGTAGCCTTCTGGTGAGAGAGTTGTTTTGAGGACGTTCATCACTGCATCCCGGGTCTCGATGTTGACTTCATCGAGCCGAATACCCTTGTGCGCGAGTAGGAACTCGGGGTTCGACCATGTGCGCCACTGTGGGGAGTCGATGTGGTAGTTGATGGCTTCTTTTTGCTTATCGTCCAGTAGGCCGGTTACAGCTTCTGTTGCTTCTACAATTTGTTGAATTGGGACATCTTCTTCTTGTAATGTGAATAGACCCGGGCGGACGTTTCCTATACATGTTAGAAGCATTCTACCAGTATCCTTTCGGTCTGGTTCATACCATCGGTGGTCACGCCTTTGAAGGGTTCCTGTAAGAGTTCTAACCAATGCATATACAGCGCATGCAGCCAGGGTGGCTGATGTCCGGTCTTAAACTCGTTCGCGTACTCGTGCGCATCCTGCTGGCACATCCCCTGGAAACGCGGGAGGCTTAGGTCAGGCAGGTACTGGCGGTACTCGCCTGTGGGCTTTTCCAATGCATTTGCCATAGCATAGAATGATATAAAGAAATAAATTAAAGAGAAAAGAAGAACTGTGCAAATGGTATTATAGCATGAGACCCCACACCGGTGCGGACTAGCCTTCCCCACAAGCGTGGGGATGGGAAATTTCTTATCCGCTCTGGCACCAATCCGGTCAGGCCGGAAAGACATTTATCAGTTGGCTTCATGTCAAGATCTGGGGATATCTGTCGGATGTCCTAAATGCAGGGGGTGAGATTGTCGTACGGCTTATGGGTGGGATATGCCGCACAACATTGAAGTTCGAGAGTAATAACTTGGGTATGCAACTGCAAAGGAACAAAATATAGACATGATTCTCACATAATGAAGAGAAATGGGCTCTTTATTTGTTTCCTCTCCCCCCCAATGCTAGATTGTAGAAATAGACGGAGACGATGGTAGTGGACAAGTCCATCATATGGTACAAAACTCCAACATAGCCTAACTTATAATCCAGAACCCCTAAAGATCAAACCGTATATCATACATTGCAATAGTTGCTTATTAGGCAAAGGACTGCATTGTCATAAATGCTGTGCACATCTCAAGTTCCCGATGCTGGATAAATGATCTTATATGCCCGGGAATTTCTGTTCTATATATATATTTGCACCATCTAGATGCTTTGGAATATATTTGGTCTTCCGCGGCCTACAAGGCTTTCCAACCAAAGTAAATGAATTATAACTTATATCTTGTCCACCTAAGCGAGAGAAACACAGAATGATATTCTATTATGATATTCTATCTACGTATATAATTTTGCCATGTGGAAGAAGTGTCGTAGTGAAGCCACGAACTCCCCCAACCCGCAAACACGCCATCAACGACGGGCTATGTCCCCCTCGTGGAAACTCGTTTCTTAGCAGATTCACCGAGTTTTGAGTCTCGCACGCACAGCTTGAGAATGTTACTCGATTCAAATGGTCGTATTCCCTGTGCGCGGCATCCGATATGGAAAGTCCCTGGTCTATATTCTCGCTGGATACGGCAAATGAGATTCCATTCCAAATTGGAAGTAAGTTTCATATACGTCGCTCTCTTCTATAATTTCTTCACCTGCTTCATCGAGAAATTGCTATCTAATCTTGCTTGATCCAAGCTGACTGCCTTCCTCCTTTTTCTCTAGTGTTCGGCTTCACCAATTAAACGTATTTGAATCGTAGTTAAGACTCGACCCCACTGAAAAGGCAGGTGTCTTGTTATTGGGGGATTGGGGAACCCAGTTTGATGAATTCTCTCTACATCAATAGTCTGGAATATTTCTGGCCGCTTTCACTTTCTTGTTATGAATCGAAATGGTTTTTATATTCAGTTCCATATCGTGCGCAATGAATTAAAAGATTGAAGATGTTCATTCTTGATAGAAATGAGTGTATTATCACCAAAAAGACTCGGAGTTCCAAGCCAATCTGGGCCCCTCTTGTAATCCAAGCAGGATTGGATGATTCATGGATGAGTGATGGCCCCAGAAATTGCCTTAGATGCTTCCTTGGCCTATTAAGCCTTGAAGGCAGACCAGTTCAATTCAGTTGAATAGGCTGGTTCTCCGGTGGTGCTGAAAAGATAGCAGCCCTTTGCACCATTAGGCTCCCAGTAATCCACCGAGTTGCAGGTATTATCTGCGCTGCACAACTTCAAGCATTCAGTGTAAGAGACGCCAGACGCGGCGTGTTTGCCGTTCTCACGATATTGCTTGCCACAACGAATCTGGTACTTTGTGCCATCCAGGTCAACTTCCGAGTTGTCGTCATCGTTGCACTTCACCTCCCTAGGAGGCGGGGGCGGGGGAGGGTTGGCTGGGACAATGGGCTCCTGTTCCGGTTCCGGCTCCGGTGTAGGGGTAATGTCGGCCGGAGGAGCATTTGAGCCACAGGCATTAACACAGGAATCCTGAGTGCATGCTCCCGTGCAACCAAGAGAATAAGCGGTAGCCCATCCCGGGGCGGAGAGGGTGGGCTGGGAAGTACGTTTGCCCAGGTAGCACTTCTTGGTACGCTTGTGGTAATCGACACTCTGGCATCCGATGACAGAGGCGCAGGACTCCGTGCATTCCTTCAAGGAGCTAGCATCCAGTTTATGGAACCAAGCCGTGCCATGACGCTTCTGGCAATCCAAGTGGAACACCTAGAATATTGTTAGTGAATATTCCCCTGTGGCATAGATGATCTGAAAAAGGCTTCACCTGTTTGTTTTTGGCGGTATAGATTTGACCATCTGCATCTGGGCACTCAGTAGAGCATGCTGCTCGCACGGTCTCCTCGACCTCAATCACCGGAGGATCAGTCAAGTAGGCCCAGTCGTGTAGCGTGTTTGCGCACTTTGTTTCGGAGAAACTGCCACTTCCATAAAGTTTACAATCGCCAGCACTTTCGCCGTTGTAGTCACCAAAGACGTAGCGGAACCTGCCCGGAAACATTTATCAGATCAGGGTATATACCTTTCTTGGGTGTAGTACTTACGCTTGGCAATTGTTTGTCAAGGTACACTGGTTGATGCAGTCATCGTAGCCTGTCGTCTTAACATTCTTGATGAATTGCGATCCAGCAGACTCGTGCATACAACACTGGAAGTTGTAATAACCACCATCACTAGTCTCGATAATATCGCCGTCGTCTGAAATATCTCAGATTAGCTGGTCATTAGAGTCTACGGAAACAGCAGCACTTACTTTGAGGACATTGGGGGGTAACACCCTTGATGACCACTTGGTTGCTTTTCAGCGTTGTCCCCTGTGTCCCATCACAGGACCTGGCATCGATGGATTGAGCAAGGAACACATTGAGGAAGAGAACCACGCTTTGGGACAACTTTAGAAAGCCCATGTTGACTAACGGTCACTCAATAGCAGAAGATCACTGTTTGAGTCTTCCAAGGTACTCGGTCGAAACGGCGTATTTATATTAATCAACCTGAACCCCAAAATCTTCTACTAGACTCCTTGGATACTCAAATCAGTTTCAGCTATCGATCACTCACATCGATTCTCAATATCCACCATATCTCAGCTGCCCCTCTCTCGCCCCCTGACGGAAGATCTTACAGGTTTCAGCGCATTAGCGGTTTTTAAAAGTACAATTACCAACAGGTTGACCACAATGAAAATTTCTCGATGGGCTTTTCATAAGCCATTTGGCTGGATTATCCGCATTTCACCGAGATCGGCACGTTGGTTCTAAGTAGAGATAGCCCGGAAATTGGCAGATATGAAGAGACTATCGAAATACTAAATTGTGAAGAGTCGCACTGCAACCACCCCTAGACATGCATATATTGACGCTACGTGACTAATATTTCTAGGTGGGCCACAGGTATGCGTTCTAAAATGGAATCATTATTTACAGGGCTGACGGAGATGTTGGTCACCCCCTTGTATCTTACATTACAATAGATCGATTGCATGCATGCATACCCTCCACAAATGTTGTTCCATCTACTCCCTGCCGCAGTGTCGCCACAGCATCACTAGAAAGTAAAAACAACGACTTAGGGACTGGAGTTAAAGAAATGTGGAATTCGCCCAGCTGAATTTACAAAAAGGATTTGCCACGTAAGAAAGCAAGGGTGTCTTAAAACTTGAATGTTCTGAAGTCAATTGAATGTACAACATATGACGACATGAAGCCCAAGGAAAGGATTAGAGGTTGATAATCTGGATAAGAATACTTGATATTGCCTAAACTAGTGGAAGCTTTCTGGCGCTCAATTACTGTACATGCAAAGTTTGATCCTGAACAACTTCCTCTCTCGTATCCTTCCAGCTCCAAATGTTCATGCCAACCTTAGTTCCCGATTCCACGGGCAGACCAGCATGCATGGTTTTTGGGTACCCGTGTCCATCCTCTCGAATATTAACCCAGTAGACGGCGCTGCCGGCAATTGGCTTGAAGGTGACACCAGGCTTGGGATCGTCACAGTCAATATACTGGCACCAGGCGGTTTCATTCGGTCGGGGAATCAGAGGGAAGTGAGTGCCACCACCAGTACAGTCACCTTGCAAGAAGATGTTGTAAGTCGAATAGCGGTTCATGCGATTGGGTGGCGAGTCGAATTGGTCATGGTGATAGGAAAAGAAGCCATTTTCATGGTACCTCTGGAGAGACAAGGGTTCCAAGAGCAGCTTAGACTCCTGGTTCTGATAGCGGACTGCTCTTTGTTCAATACATTGCAAAATCTCGTCCCGTGCAGGCCATGCGTTCTCCGATTTCCGATGCTTTTCGTCATTGTTGCTTATTCCCTGTCGGTAGACCAAAGATGGAGTGAAGCTGTCTTTGCTAAAAGGCAAACATTAGAAATAATACTTCCATTTCGGTGGGAGAGGATAGATACGTAGACTCTAACAAGTGGTTAATCTCTTCAGGAGAAACGAAGTTGGGAATGTAAATGATGAGAGGGTCTTCGTGTAGTGTGAAATAATTCATGTGAGAGAAATCCGGACAGTCAAGAGACTCGCTTGCGGCGACGAGGCCGAGGTCTTGTAATCCATCTGGCCAAACTTTATCATCAGGCTCAAGGGTTACCTGCGCAGTTGCTGGTGAATCATCGTCTAATCCCGTGATAGACACACGTTCATCTGGCATGGACACGCCGATGACATGGACCCCCTCTAGATTGGACTCGAACTGGATGGACAATGGAATTGTCACTTGGAACCGCTCGACCTCATTAAAGGACATTATGAGGGAATATGAGCCAGGGTTTGAAGGTATGAGGTCAAATGATTGAATGGAAAGGGAGAGTGAAATTAGTAGGCGGACTTAAAAATCCAAAGGTGAAACTTGGGCTGCTATCGATGGCTTCTTGATTTCTCTCTGTTTCTGTGGTTGTTTCGCACAGAATATGACTTGTCCACAAATGCGCTCCCTTTCAGAGCGGAGAATACTCCGTATGCATGCAACTAATTTAACATGCATTATGTTCTCCGCGGTGTCAAATATTCAAAGCTGAGCACAGCATGAGGGGTACAGAGCTCCCCGAGGCTGGCTGAATCGCAAATGGTGGAGCATATGCAGGGCGAGCCCAAGCCACGCTATTTAGATTATTTAGACTATTTATATACATTGACGCATGATGCATGATGCATGATGCAGCTGTGGGGCTAAATCGATCTCATACTAAGATCTGAAAGATCTTAGCTCCAGATAGGGCATGTACCTCATATTGATTAGTATTGGCATTGACTAGTTCTTCTAGAGTCGCTAGCGCTGTAGAGGTGTGAGCTTCCACTCTCCCCTTCCCTCCACCTCTCTGCAATACGTACACATTTCGATATTACTTCCGCCTATTTATATCGACCCGAAATTGAATATTCAAGTTTACAGGAATTATGATTATGACCTAAGCACTTTTAAGGTCGAAAATAAAATAAATGTTATGCGCGAAGTGAAATATAGGTCCAAGTCCAAATGAGTGTTTTGTCCAATCCATCCGAATATAGTCCGAAACATAAAATCAAATAATCAAAGAATGAGATTTGTAGCAAGATTCGCAGTCCTCCGCAATGGCCTCCTTCAAGTACGCTGGGCTATGCCTTCCACCCACTACCCCATATATCCGGATATACCCGTCCAGTGCGGTTCGTCAGGGGACGATTAGCGGCATACCCCAAGAATTTGGTTACTGCCAGCGGGGGTATCCTGGCAAGGATTGTTGAAACAGCCATAGTGGGTACCATCAGCTCGGAAGAGAGGAATGGCACCGTTCGCAATACTTGTGCAGTGATCGGCTGCGATTTTCTTGGGGTCCGGTGCCGGCACAGCGGGGGCAGGCAGCGCCGCACCACCAGGGCATCCCGGGTCAGGGCCTCCGAATCCGAGCAACAAAGCGCATAAGTTGGGGTTTACCCGCGTCCACTTGAGGAGGGCGTCGGAGCCCCCAAAGAGCGAGGCTAGCAAAATAACCTGTAGATGCGCGATTCTCATTTTGAAGTGAGGAACTACGGACAAGAACATTCCACTCATTAGCATACCAAGCAGGAATGCTTGCATTGAGAAGGTAGGATACCTTTAGTTGAAGAGAGAATGTAGGACTTGGGTGGAAAGTTCACGAAAATTGAGAGAAGGCCGAATGTTGGGTTGATACTTCCAGAACTGGGTAGATGCCGGAGCTTGAGGACATCTGAACTATGTCCAAGGCCACACCCTTATATATTTTCCTATCTCAGATTTAAATTACAAAATCATATTGCTTATAAGAACATGGAAATCTTGTAGTGGCTATCACACTGCATGTGATATTTTCCAATAATCACTCCTGTGCGAAAGTTCATGTCGGGCTACGTACATGACGACCCACAAAGTGTAGGTTCAGCTTCATTTTTCCCCTCACATCATGCTACTTTGTATAGTACGTGCCACCGGGAGCTGAGCATGATCATGAGATAGGTCAAAAGGATGCCGACGTAGTAGCAGGACGCCACTAAGTATGGAGTTGAAGTAATTTGCACGATGTACCCCGTACTGCATGATGACACACGATGCCTTGGCGAATCCTCTAGTACCGCATCAGTCTGTATATCATCGTACACAAAAAGTGGGTCATGCTGCAGTCCTCGAGATCAATCGACCGCTAGAAAAGATAAACACACTCTTATATCAAATCAAGGGTCCACTGACCCACCCTGCAGCGTTACATCGCACTAATGTACGTTTCAGCTCATACCTGAGAATAATCCTAATTACGATCTCGATAGATCACAAAAATCGAGCCTTGTATACAATACTATCGTGCCTTATACATGGGCTTGTACGAATCCACAAGCAATCTATCTCTATCGCGTACGAAAGGGAGGTTAGCTCAGTCCAAAACCAGGAACTATTGAATTAATTGTTTTGTTGTATCGTATTCTTCAATACGGACGCTGTCTTCACGCTGTTTAGAATTCCCATGCAGACTCCCTATTTATTCTCGACTCTCTCCCCTCCCAACCCGATGGCTCTATAAGTATTGCTATCTACCTCCTACCCAGTCACAGGTCAATCTACTTCAGGTTTTATCGGGTTCATATCAAATCAAACATAGTAACTATGAAGCCTGAGACAACCTTGTGTCTGATTGGGGCAGCCCTCATAGGGCTTGCCAACGCCCAAATCAAACCCGGTCTCTCCGCTGGCAGTGCCGTCAAGCCTAGCTCTGGCGGTGGCATCCAGCCTGGCATCCAGCCTGGCTCCGGCGGTGGCATCCAACCTGGCTCTGGCGGTGGCATCCAACCTGGCTCTAGCAGTGGCATCCAACCTGGCTCTGGCGGTGGCATCCAACCTGGCTCTGGCGGTGGCGTTCAGCCTGGCTCTGGCAGTGGCATCCAACCTGGCTCTGGCGGTGGCATCCAGCCTGGCTCCGGCGGTGGCGTTCAACCCGGCTCTGGCGGTGGCATCCAGCCTGGCTCTAGCAGTGGCATCCAACCTGGCTCCGGCGGTGGCGTCCAACCCAGCTCCGGATCGGGCAATGCGGGCTCTACCTCTCCAGGTTCATGGACCTGCTCTAACCCGCGACAAGGGTACAACCAATCTCCCGCAATCACAACTAGTATCTCCTGCCCTTCAAGTAAGTAGCCATTATGTTCTCTGGTATGATGGTCTCGTCCTAATTCTATTTAGGTGATGGAAGCGTGTACGAGACATACGATGGAAGCTGGTATTACTTGCAGTGCTGCACGCAGAGTTCTCCCAACGCGTTGTCCGTCGGTACTCCATCGGTCTCAAGCATGGAGGAATGTCTGAAGAAATGCTCCGACGTTCCAAACTGCGAAACGTGAGTCAAGCTATGAAAAGTCAGCTTTGTTTGCGGTTTCGTTAACGCTTTGCAGTGTTTCGTTCGACCCTTCCACCCTCTACTGCAACCTTCTCGACTACGGATCCTTCGAGGCAACCTCCCACGGAAGCCAGCTTTATGCCTTTTCGACTGCTCCCCCGGTCACCAAGCAGCCTAGTATGACAACCCGCCGCTGCAGTACCTCTTGTCCAGAGGCCAATGGCCAAATCTATGTCAGCCCATACGGCGAGGTGAGATTATATCCCTAACGCTCTTAAATCAGAATCGCCATCTTACAAGATATCCAGACATTCTACATGAGTTGTGGGATGCGCCACGGCACGGCGTATCTCAACGTTGAATCTGTTTCAAGTCTGGAAGACTGTATGGATCTCTGCGGTGCCTCCGCTTCATGCAGCAGTGTCGACTTCGACCAGTCCAAAAACACATGCTATCTAAGCAACAATGACAGTCCGCCAACTTATGAAGCTAGTCGTTTCGCTAGTGCTCACTCAGTTGGTTGTTCTGGGGCTTGTGAAGGCTGCGGCAAGCGCACATGTGCTACTAATACCGCTCAGACGCCGGCCGACCCGGCACAATGCACCAACAATAACCAGGTTGTCAACGTTGGCAACTATCCATTCAGGGTCATGTGCGACCACTGCTACCAAGGCTCGAGCACAACTGCAACCATCAGGGGAGAGGCCAAGACTCACGAAGAGTGCATGAACCTTTACACGTTGGAGGCTGATACCCACATTGGAGCGCATTGGTCAAAGACCGGTGGATGTGCCCTGATACCTGCCGGCTCAGAAATCAAGTCTAACACTGGCTGTGCTGCGGCCTTCAAGCCGCTCTGGTAGTCAATTCCAGTATGAGCCCTTTTTGAATTTCTCCAATTTCATCCCGTTCCCATTGACCCCGACTATGGGTGAGTTGTTTGTGACACATTCATTGAAATCCCCTCTCGGTCTTTTCTTTTCTTCTTTGTCTTTATGTCACTCCAGTCCACTTTGTCCACGGACTGTGATTTCTAGCTATTGTCCAATCCGAGTCCAATCCATCCGTCGCCGAAAAGTGATACACTTTAGTAGATTCATAGATCAATGTAATGGTAACCGCCTGCCAGTGGACTTTGCATCTGCTTCTAAAACTCTGAGCGACCAAAGCTATCACTGAGAAAAATTCAGTTTGATGTCTGCGCCCGTATGATTGCCCGAATGGCTGATGGAAAGACCTCCATCTCCGCGGTCCGGGGACACGCCTAGATTAAGGGCCACTTACAGATGATGACGGAAACCTGTCGGTACAACAATGTGTGGCATTGAGCTCGCTAACTTGTAAAGACGACAACAATTTCAACAATCTGTGCGGACACGATGACCAACTGTAATATGCACTTCTGTGTGGTATGCCTCAACCCTGTCTCAACAATGTAATCCACCTTGGTATTCGGCATATTCATCTAATTAATAGCCATTTCAGCTCGCAGAACAATTTGTCACACCGAATGAGATCTACACGGCTATAACGGCAATTATTTGGGGTTTGGATTTAGGGCTTTATTTAAGGATTCGGCCTTGCACAAAATTCCTGGTATGTCATCTTCCTTGTCACTCACTACCCACAATGGTCAGATTTTCGAATCTTCTCCTCTTCTGCAGTGCCCAGCTCCTGACCGTGATCCCGTTGACAGAGGCCAAGGGATTGTGCACGCAGGGGGTCGGGGTCGGGGTCGCTGGCGCCCGCTTTGGTCAAGGATCCGGTCGTCGAGGTGGCTATTGCTGTTGCGAAGAGCCAGAGCCAGAGCCAGAGCCCGAGCCCGAAACACCTACTGAGTGTAGCCCAGAATGTGAGTCTTCACGGTATTTTATCAGTGAGAAGTTGTGACAATTAATATTCCTTAGGTCCCTCCGCTGATTCAGTGACCTTCCAATGCAATGGCCGCGTATTCAAGCAGTTCTGTGGTCGTCGTATGTCTCAAAATCCCAAGCCCAACCTTTACATAGCACCGTACTAACTATCTATTAGATGTCGCTACCCCGACCCTGAGAGATTTTGATGTGTCAAGTTACCAGCAATGCTTCGACGCGTGCATTGAGGACAGCAACTGTCGCTCTCTTGACTTCACCAACAACCACTGCTGGCTGAAACAGCAAGGTGCTGATCCACCACCCAAGGCAATGCCCAGTAAGCAGGATATTAGCATCATTTTCCTGTAACTATGGCCTTCTGTGATAGCAGTCGAGATTGGACCCCTAGGTATGCTTTCCGTTATCTGGTTCGACATTCTCATTTTTACAACGGGCCTGAATATTTCGGATTATATTTTGTCTTCGCCATTTCGGGGCACGAACGGGTGTCGATTTGCAGGGATCGAACCACTACAAATAGGACGAAAGAGCCAAGTTTGACTGTGACAGTTCTATAGGCAACTTGTGAATTCCTGCCTATACATAGAAAAATCCTCTACATAGTTTAACCAGGTTATGCATCTTAAAACGACCTTTGTATACATCCAAAAAGACTATCTGAAAAGAACGAGTAATAACACGTTGGTATGTTCTTACATATAACCTCCCTAATATCATCTGAGGCCAAATAGATGGATCAGGTTATCAAAGTCTTACAGGGGCCGTATAAGCAGCCGACTATCCTTGTGCTGTATTAATTAAAATCCAATAAATATAGTACCAAAAGGTCTTGATACGCTTAGTACTTAAACTATCGTATTTAGCTAAGTCCTAAGTCATTGTCGGGAAGCCGAAAGGGAATAGTGCTTATTATAGTCTGCATCTGCTATAAAACCTACATAGACAACAATTACCTTCCTGAATACAATCACCCTTTTTCTTTTCTTTTTCTGAACTTTACATGTTTTTCCTCAAATGCATACTCCCTTACGCACTTTAGGTAAAGATGGCCCCCAAGTCTCTGCCGTCGGGTTTGGGTTCGGGAGCCTCAGTGGATTCTACGGATCAGCCGGTACCCTCGACGAGAGAGTGGCTCTCCTATCGCATGCTCATTCCACAGGACTACGCTTTTGGGACCTGGCTGATATCTATGGCGACTGTGAGGATGTCGCCGGTGAATGGTTCAAGCGATCCGGTCAACGAGATGACATATTCTTGACCACCAAGTTTGCGCTCCAGCGCCAGTCAGGAGGAGGGCACACTTTTCGATCGGATCCCGCCTATGTTAAGGCTGCATGTGATAAGAGCCTCCAGAGACTCGGGGTAGACACCATTGACCTCTACTACTGCCATCGGGTAGATGGAGTAACACCTATTGAAAAGACGGTCGAAGCTATGGTAGAGCTGAAGAAGTAGGTCAATTCAACATCAAAGATCATAAAACTGAATAGGCTTTAACGTTACCATTCTTCAGAGAGGGGAAAATTCGTTATCTCGGTTTGTCAGGTGTCTCAGTAGCCACACTACGTCGAGCGCATGCCGTCCACCCTATTTCCGCTCTGCAAATGGAATACAGTCTCTTTACACTGGACATTGAATCTTCGGATATCTTGAAAACCTGTCGAGAGCTGGGTGTGACTGTCGTGGCCTACAGCCCTATTGGGCGTGGCATCCTAACCGGCCATTTCCGATCTTACACAGACATCCCGGAAGGTGACTTACGCCGTCTGTACCCAAAGTACTCGGAGAAGAATTTCCCGAGCATTTTGAAGCTATTACAGGCGTTGGAGAATGTTGCCAGTACTCATCGGAGCACCCCGGCACAGGTTGCTCTTGCTTGGCTTCTTGCACAAGGACCAGATATCATTCCCATCCCAGGTACCAAGTCGCCTGCTAGAATGAACGAAAATGCGGCATCTGCAGTTCTTCGTTTGAGTGGCCAGGAGGTGCAAGAGATCCGTAATCTGGTGGAGAACACTCACATTGAAGGTACTCAGTACCCTGCTGCGTGAGTATCACTTTTCTTCATTTTTGGGGGCCCAGAGTACTGATTGGATGCATAGGGCAATGGAAACTCTTTATACTGATACTCCGAGCCTATATATGTGAAGGTGATGAGGGTTTGAGTCAATGGCCTCACTATTATAGCATAGTAATATTCTATGTATCTGCCTTCTAGTCAATCATAGACCTTAAGTAAACATTTATGATTTTATACGCCTTTGGTTTTGTTCACTTTCTAAGCTTAATAAGAAGTTATCAAAATTTTAGGAATAGTAATGCTCGTAAGCCAAAAAAAGAAAAAGAAAAAAAAACATGTCCCTGGTATACAGACAGCATCGTCTCTGCCTCTTTCATTCAATGAAAGAAACAGTATGTGCATGATATGGTAGCATCCAGTGCATTCACCATAAAATGACGAAAAGAATACTGGATCAACCCGAGCAGATCATCCAAGTAGAACCCAAAAGATTGAAAATAAAAATGAGGTCAAAAGACAAAGAAAATCCCAAAGACGAAGCCACAACCAGGCAGCCACCATATCACATATATCTCATGAAACCAAGCCCAAAAACTCCTTCCAGCCCCTATAAACCGCAGTCTAATTCCTTTATCAGGAGTAATCCCCCGCTTAGTCCAAGTGGTAGGCAATCACGCCCACGAAACTGTCGGACTTGCCATGAGATATCCAACCCCACCCTCGCTGTATCTGAGACCTTCGCACATATAACTAGTGTCACAGATCACGGATTCCGCGGCTTATTCATATTGCTATCAATCCGCCCACAGCTCGTGTTATCACGACCATCCCCATATCTTGCATACGTACGAGCGACGTTTGGATCGATATGTGAAGGATGCGAAGTTGACGAACTGCGACTTAGCGAGCCTGGGGATGACGGTGCTGAGGATCCGGATGTTTCTGCAGATGCAGCTGTGGAGTTCGCCGTTGCTCTAGCTGCGGCAGCTGCAACTGCAGGGTTGCAGTGTGCACAGACGAAGATGTTGAAGCCGCGACCGTTGCAGCTGAGGCAGATTGCTCCTCTGGGGATCGGGTTAGTATTGGGAGATATAAAGGCTATCTTGTGGTGTATACCTCGGGGCATTCCCTGCGCAACCTTTGCATGTAACTACCGTCCGCCCTCCGATGCATGATATATGCTCGGGGTCAAGATTCAACAAGGACTGAGTGGGACTGGCCATTGTAATGAATGTAGAGGGTATAGAAAAGGGAAATATTGGAAGGTAAAGGGTGTAGATGTGGAGAGTGAAGTATGATCCAAATCCTCCTGATATAAAGTGCAGGTGGCTTTTTGGTATTCTTCCCGTTCTTTCTTTTTCTTTTTCTTTTTCTTCCCCTTGGAAGGTGAAGGGTGTAGAATAGCTAGTATATTGTAAACCCTGAAAAAGAAAGGTTGGGAACAAAAGAAGACAATAGTATGGGCCGAAGTATAACAAAGCTAGAAATGGTAGACAGAGAAACAACGAGTTTCTTATACAAGAAAGTAATCAGTGGTAATCAGTGCCACCAACCAAGTTCCCGAGAGTTTCCAAGTGTCACATATGATATGCACCACGGAGTGTGGAATTGATGACGGGAATCAGGATTTAGTCCACCGGGATGATCAGCAGGACAGTGAGAGGGATGGTGATAGGACAGTTCGCCGGGTAATGTACGTGGATATTTCATTTACACACTCGGGGTCCATTTCAATTGAATCCTTCGGTGATTCCCGACTAAAAAGAAAAAAAGTAATAGATCCAACATGAGAGAACGGCGCAGAAACCGTTCTAGACTTGGCTGAGTTGTCAGACCCTGCTGCCTAGGTGCTTGTGTCTGTCAAGCTAAGGTACAGAAATGCAGGGTATATGAAACAGGAGCTGGTGGGGGATTATGGTGGTGCTCGATTCATACGACCGGGCCTACGTCGTTCATACATTTTTGCAAAGGGTCCATTTGCTGGTCATTCTGTGGGAGAGTTTATAGAGCAGAAAACCTGCAGTGAAACTAAAATGCTACCAAATTGGCAAATCGAAGTCGATCTAGTGTTATACAGACAGTCGTTCAGGTGCAGCGGAAAAGATGTCCCAGGAGTACGGCCACCATCTCGTGTCACAAATCTTGACCGCAAGAATCCGTATACCGTTATCCTCGTGGGTCATGACTGTTGAAATGGCCACGAGTATAAGACGTGAAAATTCCAACCACGGATAGCGGCATTCGACCATGCAACCATCTCTAAGATAACGTATAGATGATAGAGGCCATACTGGCTGGCCTTTTTTCGATGAATTTTTCCCCTGGTGGGATTTCGTCGTCAGCTCCCGTCGTATTTTCCTTGTGTTGAGATGATCTTTCCATCTCAACCGAATAGAGTAAAGTACTCCCTATGGAAGATTGAATTGACAGCTAGATGGTCACCGGCTCAGTTCGCTTAACATATACCGAATCAGGAACAGTGTTCAAGGGCTTCTACGGAGTACGTTCTCATAGCGTATCTGCCGTATCTGCCGTATCTGCCGCGAGCAATAAGAAAATCGCACGGTGACGATGTCGTGCAGGGATCAAATCGAAGTAATAATCTCCCATAGTCCGCATATCACATTCCAACCTTTCAAGATAATAATCCTTTAGGCACAATCTCCGATGAGCACCGGAGCCCGCGGATGCATCTGACAAGCGCATGTGGTGCCCACATAAAAAATTCCGAAAAGAAAACCAAAAAAAGCTGCAGCTGTAATTGAGGTGAAAAGACAGCCCTGTAAGAGGTATGAGCTACCAATAAGCAGAAAGAAGGAGAAATCAAAATTTGGACTCGCAGCCAATCGCATGAGTTCATAGGCTAGTGGCCCGAAGCGCCGTGGATGTAACACTTAGCCTCAAGCAGGTAGCCGTAGAGGGAGTTCGGCTGCAAGGACAGGGGGAGAAAACCTCGAAAGCCCCTCCCTTTAACATTCTCATCCCAACATTACAAAGATTCCTTGCAGCCGTTTGGCTTTGCCTCGAATTCATTGTATGATCTAACCTAACGCGCTTCTGCAGATTGGTCACATGCAGACTGAATCCTGTGGAAATGATGAACAGCTCAAAATAAATTCACTCATCTTCGAGGTTTGCAATGATGCAGTCTGCCATCGGTCAAAAGATCGATGTTACCCAAATACGACTTCAGGTAGAAGCAACGGGTATGCGCGTCACTAGGCAGAGCTGTGGATTCGTATACTAAAGATATCAGCATCCGATTCCTCGTACTGTATGGAACCAAGACAGCCCAGATACTTCAGACTCCATGAGCTCGTTAAGCCAGCTCGCTGTTAGGGAGTAGACATGCAGCCAGCCACTTCCAATCACACGCTAGTCCAGGATTCGAAGTCGAGAATTTGAATTCGGGCTGGAGTCGAGGCTTCGCATGAGCGGCAAGTTGCATCAATCATTACAACGGAGAAGTTTCCATCGATGTCTCAAAAGGGCTATCTGAGACTTCCGACGGTTGTCCTGGAACCAGAACGTTTGCAGATTTTCTTCGGCAATTAGTGTCATGGTTGAACCCCGAGGATGCCGGGGAAAAGGAAAAAAAAAAAGAAATTATGAGGTTGTACGTAAATGGAAAAAGAACGACTCAATTGCAAGTCAGCTGATATGAACCTATGGGATACCTGCAGCCCAGTTCCCATTGTCACTGCAAGAAGTGAGTCTGGATCATGGTCGTCTTTTCTTCAATGGCCTGTGGGAATGGAATGTTCCAATCCATTTCTATGTTGCAAATGAGATGACTATCTTCTTTTTGCTGCCAAAAAAGAAAAGTCTAGGATACGTTGTATACGCAGATATAAAAGGTCGAGCAGCGTAGAACATCAGATACCGACTATTCCCCGAAAATCTGCTCTTAATAGAGCCCCTGAAGCATAAGATGAACTCACATGCTAGGCAAGAGCTGACTTTCGGCGACAGTGGAATGATATCACGGTGCATTTTTAAACGAGGCTACCCAAGACCAAAACTGGTACCTGACAGGCACGAAAAGGCTGTCACTTGGATACCACAAGCTCCACGGTTGGCTCATAAGATTATATGATGCATAGACAAAAATGAAGGATTGTCATTATCCATTACGATCTGCATAGCTATCACATGGAAAAATAATAAGGCGCTACGTGGCGTTCCATCTTAAGAGTCACCGTATTTGACCCGGCTAATGGTTGTGTGTGTAGCCACGGTAAAGGGGGGAAAGGCAAAGAAATAGGGCAGAAACAAATTATCCAGCTAATCAAACACCCACTAGTGGCAGCTTCCATAACCACACTGTGGTGATCGGGTGAAGATCCCGTGTGCTTGCCCATGGAGCCACGACATAAAAACAGCAGCGACAGGGGAGGGACGCCGGGGGGAAACAACAAACACCTTGGTCCATCCTTCCACCCAAAGCCAGGACGCCTGGGTAATCCCGAAATCATAAAATCATTGGAGGCACGCCGAACTCACGTGTCGGCGTTAAAATCATAAAATATGGAAAAAGCGGAGAGCAGAAGCAACCGAACCACGAAACTGAGTGATTTCAATCATTGGAAGTATTCATTTGGCAAGGCTGCTAGCATAGCGATAGTTCCCAGACCACCCAGCACAGCGCTAACGACAGCCGTGGTGGCGTGGCTTGCCAAGGACTTTGAGGTTGGATGATTGGCCTTGATTCGCTTTGCCGGACGCTCATTCTCTGCAAGTGCAGAGCTAATCGCATCCTTGGCATCGGAAGGAATAGTGTTGGAGTTGAGATCTGGCTGACTGGCTGGCTCTGCAGGCAGCCACTGAGCATCTTGAGAAAGACTGGGTTCAGGAGACGACGATTGCATCTCTGTTGCAGTACGCTTCAAATTTGATGTTTTAGACGTTGCCAGGTAGGGCACAAAGGCATCTTCCATGGAAGCACTAGTCGAGAACGGTCCATCCTGATAGCGATTCTCAAATTCATGGGACAAGGATGGTACCCCAACAGTGCTCTCAATCTTCCGGTGCATTGGTGGGTATTTGTTTTGACATGATCTTGGCAGCTCACCAGAAACAGCGTATGTCGGGAACCGAGAACCTGGGTTTGTCATACCAGGGGCAGTCTGCGACATCGATGGGTTGCTCTCGATCTGTGAGGGGTTCACTGACTGACCCCCAAGAGCCTCAGAGAACAATGGTCCTGTGTCAGTCTCTTCGGGTAGATGCTTGGACACTTCGACGGCATCAGTGTGATTGGTGCGTCCAAGTTCCTTCATATACTCCAGATCAAGCACGGGGCGGAGATCAGGCTTCTGCGAAAGACGATTTTCAAGACGTTCGTCCCCAGAGGAACAATCAGAGTCGTTTTCGGATTCATCAGAGACCTCGTTATCTTCCTCCAAGACCTCGTCATCATCTTCCCCTTCGTCCTCTTCGTCGAAGTCTTGTGCCGACACCTCATAGTTGGCGCCATCGCTGTCGCCCATCTCATACAGATATCTGTCGTAGTTCTCTGAGATCGAATCACTGAGACCGTCTGACTCAGACACATATCCCTCACTGCCCTGGGCTTCTTCGTCTGAATCAACGGACTCGTCATCAGAGAGCATATGTTCATGGTAAAATTTCGGATCCCAGTAAGGAGTCACCTCGCACCATCGATCTCCGATCATTTGGGGCTCCCAGGCCCTCACGACCCAGCATTTGTGGCAGTCATCAACCTCTGACTCAGTCTCGAGCTCCTGTTTCAGTTCCTCGCTGAGAAGCTCCTCTGGCTTCTCAACGATCCACCACCAATTGCTCGTATCCTGGCCGTCTTCGTCTTCGTAGATGATCCAATACCTTCGCTTATCGACTGACCAGTACCTAAGGAGGCTGCCGGGCATACGATGGAATGATGTGTCTGATTCCTCGGAGTCAGGCTCCCAACAGACTTCTGTCCCAATGCAAGGCTTGAAGCTAAGGGAGTCGTCTACCCAGTAAGAATCTTTGGAAAGAGAACAACGGCGCGCAGCGTGGATAATGCGTCTGGCATGGTCAACGTCGGGTATTATATTAGATTCACCCCAAGCCATGTCTGCCAAGCGCATGAACATCGGCCGCATCATGATCCAATCGCTGTATTGGATTTCCGGTACTTTCTGGTAACAGACTGCAGGGAGACTATCTGCCTCGTGTGGCTTAGCAGAAGGAGGTTCGGTAGAGGCCGGCTTCACGGGAGATGGTTTGGCATCTGAGACCAGTTTGGTATCAGACGGTAGACTAGGAAGATCCGGGACCAGTATTGTAGTACCGGGCACAGTCTTTGTAATAGACTCCTCAGTAGGAGACAACCCGTCCCAATGGAGCTCCGGCTCGTCCTTTGCATGTTCGTCGCATTGGACACTCGAGACAGGAGAGACAAGAGATGTGTCCACAGGCTGCAGAACAGTGGTTTCCCAAGATAGAGCAACCGACTCTTTAGAGTCATCACTGGGGACATCGGCAGCTTCGGCATCGCTATCGTCCTCGGGGACAGAGAAGCTGTTGGTTGACGGACTTGGATCCGGTTTGATGGCATTGCCATAATCTGGAATGGCCACAAGCTGGGGTTTGAGCCACTGAATCTGGCACCGGACTTCGATGGCCTCAAAAACCTCTGTACTTGGTTAGTTCCAGTACTATTAGGCTGAAATTGATCATCACTTACCCTGACCACGGTCAACATCGACACCAAATCGGATAATATCTCCACTGGACAGCGGGGTATCCACATCTGTCACCAGCTTGGCATCATTCAAGTAAGTTCCGTGCGTTGAGCCACAGTCGGTAATGAAAGCCATCTATCAAAATGTCAGCGAGGCTGTATGGTCAGATTTGGAGGTTGGAACTAACATTTTGGCCCGGCGGAATGTTAAGAAAGGCATGGTCACGAGACATCACCCGAGACTCAAACCAAGCGTTCTCTGCTGCGGGACTCCGTTTTCGAGTCTCACGCTTCGAGGCACGTCCGATGGCCACGGTCTTATCATTGTCGGTGATAGTGAGGGTACGCATAGGATGGGTGTCTTCGAAAAGGGGGACAAGCGTCACAGTGACTGTGAATTCGAGGTGTGAGTTGAAGCAAGGCGACTGTTGAGATATCCGAGTACTCACCGCGTGGGTCCGACATGGCTAAAGGTATATCAACGATGGTGCTGTGTAGGATTTGGGAAGCAGAAATAGGAAGCTTTTTGTTTCTAGACGATGGTCAGACTGGGAGATAGAATATCATAAGTGATAAGAGAGATCATGAAAGCAAAATAGAATGAATAACAAAGCATGGAAGGATGAAGGGCGGGGGGCGGAAGGGTTAAGGTAGTTGGAGACAAAGGCAACTTACCTGTGTTTCCAGGCTGCAACGCGATCACATGGACCAGTTGAGACAGCCGGGAGATAGCAGATGTATGTAGAAAGAGTAGTTTGCGAGCAGAGCAAGTCGGAGCAGTAAATACGAGAAGTTGTTCAAAGCATAGAAGGTGTGGAAGGGAAAGGGAAGGAAGAGGGGTAGATTCATGAATCAGGTCGAAGTTGGGTTCACCGCTGACAAGGCGGTCGTTGGGGAGTGGTAAACCCCCTTTGAAATATGACTAAACTTGGACCTCAGTTATCGGTAAACCTATTCAAATTTCAAGAGTGTCAGAATTCAACAAGAAACTAAGAAGTAAAGTATCCGGAAGCTCAGGAACAATGAGGTATGTATGAGAAGTGATAGCATAAGATAAGCAAATGACGCCGTTGGGCTTATTTCAACACGCATATACCCTGGCTCAACGGGATTTCCCTACTGGATATAGATCGGCTAAATAGAGAGAGTACATATCTATATATCAGCTTACTTGTTGAACCTTTTGATGATTCAGTCCCTTTCCTCTTCGACTTTTAGGCATGAAATAAAAAAACAAGAGTCCGGAGGTGCCGATAAGGGGTGGGGTCAGCTGATGTGGGGACGCACGTCATGGTCATCCGCACATGTACACTAGAGGGAACTAGGTAGTTATACAGTAAACTTGCATATATAGCAACAGCAACCTTGGAAGTATGTTGTAAGTATACAGTGAGCTAATCTGATGTTAATGAGCACTCTCATTTTCCTCTATGGTACACAAATTACTACATGGTCAAACCCCAATGCACTTACCCGGGCTCGGTTTGCCGTCAATCGGCCCTATCCCATCCCGAGTCTTATCTCAGACAGACCCAGTACCAAAACAAAAAGAAAAGAAAAAGAAGGCGGACGGGGAATATGTCAACCGATAGTAAATACATGCGGAGAGAATAGTGAACCGGGAATCCAAGGATACCCAAACCGGAAGAGAAAAAGGCTTAGACAAAATAATACCCAAACCGGGGCAAAGAAAGACGCGAAGAAGCGAAGGGCGAAGATGATCCGATGACTTGCTTACATGCCAGGAGCGCCACCGTTCATGGCGCCCATGGTGTTAAGGCGGGCAGCCAGCTGGGGGTACTTCTCCTGAACCTCCAGCTGAGTGCGGGTGGCCTCGGCATAGGAGATGGCGTTGATGATCTCAGCCTCGGTGCGAGCCAGCTCAGCAGCGCGCTCAAAGTACTTGAGAGCCTGGGAGACCTTGCCCTGCTGGAGAAGAAGTTGGGCCATAGTTCCGACGGCAATATCACACTCGGGATCAATGATAAGAGCCTTCTGGCAGAGGTTCTCGGCCTCCTGGAAGTCATGCTTCCACTGGAACAAAGCAAGAGCCTTGTTGATCAGGGGCAGGACGTTGATGCCCATTGGCTTGCTCTGCTTCTCCATCTCAACGGCCTTGTCAAACTTCTCAATAGCCTCGGAGTAGTTCTGCTGGTCAAGCAGAAGCTCGCCGTAGTAGTTGTATACATCGGGGACTTCCTCGAAGTTCTTTACTGTGCGGCGGAAAGTGGCCATCGCTGAGGCGACGGAGCCCATCTTGTATTGTGTCACACCAAGTTGGATGTGGGAGTAAATGAACGACCGGTCGAGGTCGATCGACTTCTGGTAGTCCTTGGCGGCCTCGGCAAGCTCGGTCAGGATAAAGTGCAGCTGGGCACGGTGGTAGTAGATATCGGGGTCGTCCTTGTTGTGAGTAATGGCAAGCTCGAAGTCATCGGCCGCAGCGTCCTTGTTACCAAGCTCCAGGTGCAAGCTGGCGCGCTTGATGTAGCTTTGAACGAGGGAAGGTGAAAGCTCAACACTCTTGTCCAGGTCGACCAAAGCGCCAGTGGCGTTACCGCCGAGGTAGGTGAAGGTGGCTCGCATGTTGAGGGCCAATCCTTCAAATTCGCCGAGCTCGCCGAGCTCAAGTGCCTTTTCGAAAGCGGCGGCAGCCTCTTCGTAGCCATCGGCAGTCTTCTTGCCCATAGCGATGAGACCCTTACGCAGCTGGCCCAAGCCAGACTCATCGCTCAGCTCAACCGACTCCTCCAATCCCTCGGGCAGAGCCTGGGGGCGGAAGCTCTGAAGGTAGTTGGAGACAAAAGTGGCACTAGGCAACTTCTTGGTACGCGCCTCCAAGATAGCCTGGCTCTTCTTCTCGGCAACCTTCTTCAGCAGCCGTTCGAGTGAGTTGCGGCTCACGTCGTTGGAGAAGGCATCAATGATACAGCTGGCTGTGAAATCGAGAAGAGCCTCACTGTACTTTTCGAGGTGCTCGTAGGCAATGGCTCTTCGGTTGAGGGCCTTGACGTATTCGCTGTCCATGGCGAGAGCGGCACTGGTGTCCTCGACGACCTTCTCCCAGTTGGATTGGACGTTGTAGCAGGCAGCGCGGTTGGAGTAGAATACGGGATCGGGCTTGCAGATAATGGCCTTGCCGTACAACTCGATTGCGTTGGGGTAGTCCTTGATTCCGTAGGCCTTGTTACCAGCAGCCTTCAACTTGGCCGCGTAGGCGCTCCGGGTCTTAACTTGTCAGCGAAAGTGTGAGAAAGAATATTGCTTAACGTACCTCTTCGGACAGCTCTCCAATAGTTGCCTCATCCACTTCGGGAAGCTCATCAGTGGGCTCCTCTGCCTTTTTAGGAGACTCTGAAACCTTGTCAGTCATACGACCACCGTGTTTAGACAAAAGCACATACCATCCTTCACTGATGCAGCCTTTTCCTCCTCAGCCTTCTTCTTTTCCTTCCGTCGCTGGTTCTTGCTCTTCTTGGGTGCTGGGGGGGTGGATTTGCTGGAATCGTTCAGGTAGTAGACGACACCGGCGCCAGTCACGACAACGGCAACACCGGCAATGGTGTAAACAACGGCCTTGTTGTCTGAGACCCAGTTGGTGATGCGATCCCAGACCGATGTCGATGATGACTCGGTCAGCTTTGATGTATCAATCACCACATTTTGAGTGGGCGTGGGTAACGGCAATTCGTTCGACATGATGTGTAAGGAACCAGGCAAAGGGAGCGACGCGGCTAGTTCTTTGAATGTAGTCAGATGTCAGTATTCAATCGTGAAGTCAGGCGCAATTAGGCTGAGATGGAAGACAAGGGATTCACTAACCAGACCTCGACAGGAGTTAGAGATGGGGAAGTTCGGGAATGATGAAGCTCAGAGGAAAAGTCAAGGGTTCCGCTGGCCGGGTCGGCCAATCACGCGCCCTACGCCGGTAACACTCAAGTTCTCCACTGCACATGTCCGGATTGAACAGAGCTGGCTCATCGGGTCTTTTTGTATTCTTCCCCCCTTCTCTTCTTCGAATTCCGTCCGAAGCAACGTCGTTTGGATTTATCTATTATCTGACAACACTGACTTGGTGACTACAGCAGCGACCGTAAGCCATTGACTTTCGCAAAAATGACCGAGAACTCTGCCAGCCCACAATCTTTCGAGATCTTTTCCTCCCTTCGCTTTGACCCGGGCCTTCCAGACGCAGCCTGTCGCCATGCGTCGAGCTATCCTGATCCTCATAAATCCCCCTACTATCTCCTCGCCTACCATCAAGACCGGCTCATAGCTGCTGCGGCTCATTTCCAATGGAACAAGGCTCTAAATTGGCTGCAACAAGACTTGCAAGGCTTTGAGGAGTTCCTCGACGCGTCAATTCCAGACCGAAGCAAAGCGTGGAGGCTTCGAATTGTAGTGAACAACAAAGGGAAGGCGAGAGTTGAGGCGAACCCAACAGCGAGCATTGATCTAATGAGTTTGTTCATTCCGTCTCTACATACGAACCCAAACCTGCCGATATGGCGCGTCTATGTCGATGCACAATCGACAACACCTTCCGCATTCACTACACATAAAACCACTGCGCGTGATGACTATACGTCTGCACGGCTGAGAGCGGGAATTAATTCGCCGACAGACCTTGCGGAAGTACTGGTTGTGAACGCGAATGGCGAGGTTATGGAAGGCAGCATCACTACACCGTATTTCTTGCGGGACCATATGTGGATCACGCCCCCGCTGAGCAGTGGCGGCAATGCGGGTACAACAAGGAGGTATGCATTATCTCAGGGTTTCTGTCTAGAACACACCATATCCCGGGATGAGCTTGTGGATGGCGAGTTGTGTTGGTTGAGCAACGGCGTAAGGGGGTTCATTCGAGGCCAGGTCATAGTCAAGTAATAAACCCCATACTACATAGTATGTACCTACTTCGATAGGTATATATGTGAACTAGTCGAAGTTTTGAATGGTATTGGTGAATTGATGGAAAGGCTATGAAATCGTACGTATTTTTCAATATGATTGCTCCAGAAAATGTCCCCTTACCCATCCAAGTCTATTTCTTAGCCTTCTCAACCGCCACTGGGTTGGGATTCCCCTTCCACTCAAGAGGGCGAGGACGCATGTACTCGGCCATGACCTCATCCGTAACCTGTGCCCTGCGCTCCTGGAACCCTTGGACATAAGCCTGGAGCTCAGCGATACACTTCTGCTTGATCTCGCCGGTCATCATCTTTCCAGCTTCATATTCGGTACGGATGCGCTCCAGTTCCTCGTCATCCTCGAGGAAGAATGTCAAGTACTGGAATGGAATATCATTCTTAGTGTTGCCACCCAGCTCGCGCTGCAATTCCGCGGTGTCCTGGCCACCTGAGAAAGCGTGCTTGTTGATCTTGTTCTTGATCTTGTTAGGCGTGTCGCTCATGAAAATGGCGGAACTGTCGACACTGGCTGACATCTTGGATCCAGGACCCTGGAGGGCGGGAAGGAAGATAGAGTGGATGAGAGAGGGCTTCTTGTACTTCATCTTCTCCGCATGTTCGCGGCACTGGCGGAAGTAGGGGTCTTGGTCAATGGCGCATGGAATCAAGCAAGGAATGGACGCCACCTTCTTCGTCTCGGTACCGAAGATGTGGGGGAAACTGGTAGAGAAGGCGGCAGCAGACTGGGTGGCACAGAAGTGGAACTCGCCAATGTTGTTGCTGTCGTTAAACCCGAATGTGCCCTTGACCTGGTTGATTGTAATTCTCTTCGCCATCCGGCACATGTTCTCGTAGAAAGCACCACCAATGAATTGGAAGTCACTGAAGATAAAAGTTTTCTTCATATCGAATCCAACAGCAATGATATCCTTGGCGTTTGCTTTTGTGTATCTCTTGGCGTCCTCAATCTCGATCTTCTGAGAGTGCATAAACTTCTCATCGTCGGTCATCATGATAACGAGGGGAACATCGAAGACATCCTGGAGCCATCTACAATTGGATCAGTTTCCGGTATCTACCCAAATGGTCATCCGAGACTAAACATACTTGGTGAACTCAAACGGCACAGTGTGTCCAACGTGCATACTGTCGCTACTCGGCCCACGGCCAGTGTAGAGGAAGAATGGCTCGCCCTTCTCGTGCTTATCCAAAATCTTCGACAGATCACGGTGACTGAACACGATACTCCGGCGCATGAAACGGTGTGGCCGATGGCCAGTCACTTTCTCAAAGCGCTCCAATAGAGCTGCATTGATGGGTGTGGCTCCAAACTCCCTCGTGAGCTTTTCATAGTCTACCGGCAACAGCTTGCCTGATTCATCAACTCCACCGGAAACATCGAAGGGCGTCACGATCTGGCCAACGGCCTTGCTGTCTGAGGTTTTCTCGTCGATGCTCAACGAGCTGAGCGCCGGAGGCTGGGTTGCTTCGCTGGCCATGGCTTTTTCTTTGTCTGGTAGAAATTGGTCAGTTCTATGTTTTCAATTGCAGCAGTCAAAGGCCAGTTCTCACTTTATTTTATGGTTGAGGAAATCGTGAATTTCTTCTGTTGCCCCTCTTGCAATATCGCGGGATGAGTCAGAAATCCCGCTATCAGTGGGTACTCTGATTGGCCCATTCTATACATTATCAGGTGACCGGTCCTAACCCCGCGAAAGCCTCCCTTTTTGCTTCTTACTGCTGTCTTGTTCAATTAAATTTGAGTCGATAAAAGTATGAGGCTCTCCATTGGCCGAGGTAGGTATCTCCGTTGTGTCTGTGTTGTTTTCAAAGTTTATCTTTGCAAATAAAGTTCATCAAGAGCGATCTGCCGGAAGTATATAAGTGGACACTCACTCCAGGGCTACAACTATGTTTTATTTCTTATCAATGACGAAGGAAAATAGATGGAGATATATTTTTTTTCTCTCCATATTAACTAAAGACTTAGGTAACTTTTACTTTCACCCACCAATGTAGGATATCTAACATGGTTTCCTTTATCTCTGTGTTATTAGTGGGTATAAGACACAAAAGTCACATTGTGCACTATTCCAAATGTTTACAAAGGAGTTCTCAGCAAATCAGTCGGACAGGCTAGATCATTTAAAAAAGGCTGCTCGTGGCTACTACAGGCGCCTGTCCGTGTCAGGCAACCCTAACTCGAGTATATTGGGGTTGAGGTTATTCAAAACTCCCAGGAAGTGATTCCATTTTCCTCGTGGACCCTATCAGGTGAGTACACTAAATTCCCAAGATAATGACTATAGCCAGATGACGTTCATCTTCTAGTATTTTCCTATGATTTAAGACCAACATTCTTTCTCTGTTTCTAGTAGGCGAGACATTTCACAGAAAAATGCCGGCTACGGGTTGATACACTGGAATGTGGCTTTCACTTTGCAATTCCGAGCAGCAATCAACAGCACAGGATCCAGACTTAGCAACCCTCTGCCTATCCTGTATTTTATCCTAGGCAATCTAGCATTCCTCCTCATCTAGATGATGATTGCCTAAAGCTATTGTACTCACTATGCCCCCATGACAAGTATTCCGAGTGTAATGCATGGTATGTACAACATATAGCGATCACAGCGAACGGATATATTGTATTTTCTCTCGTGCAGCAGAGACACTATCTTTTCGGCATTCACGACTGGAGCATTCTTGGACTGACTGGCTTCGGCTTCTTATTTCTGTGCTAGCTATGGATGGCACGTCGATAGTATGGGTCATTTCTTTATCGAAAGAATCAATCCAAACTAAAGTCGGACGTTATGTTTGGCTGGTTGCTTAAATAAAAAACCCAATCATTTTTGTCTGGACTTTCGAGATCGTCTCTGGCTTTTGGGAATCAGTTGCCAATCAGACAGACACAATGTTTCTCATGGATACCCACTCAAACTTCCCCGCCGCTACAGGACCAATCTCCAACCTCGTTCGATGTATATTGGGCGCTGGCATCCAGGCCGTTATGCTTCTACTTCTGTATAAGACGGGCAAATGTTAGTTTCACATGCTTGCTGGCGTAGCATGAGCATTTTCTGAGATTCCGCTGGTGCGGTGGTTATCCCGGAACGGTGTACAATTTCGAAAAAAGCAATGGTCTAGAGTCAGCATGATCCAAGGATTACTGTGCGATTTCTCTCCGGTAGAAGTGGGACACTCTGCTAGGGCCCGGCTTCCTGCATGCTGCGAGCCCAATAATCCCAGTCCAAGTGTGATATAGATGCGCTGTGCGGAGTACACTAGCCCACCTTTCTACCTCACAGTAAACATTCACTCCAACCCACCAATCACTACCCACCTTGCCCCGCGCACCCGTATCGGGTACCACCTCATTCCACTGCAGAATTCCCTCGACCCGAAACTCCATGCAGCAAGCCGCCGCTAAGCACGCCTTATTCGACGCCTTTAGGTCACTGTATGCGACATATAACCCCCCTACGCGGGGCTATGGAGTGAATCTCCACAATACGGAAGCCAACGGACTGTATAATTGGTGACATGTGTCGGTTAGGATCAGGTCAGGATAACGTAGTAGACTTCCGCAGATATGTGGGTCAGTCATGTTTGAGATTATGCCGGTAAATTTGTCTTTCCGGTCTGCTGCAGATGCGAGTCGCTTGTTTATTTTAATAAGGACGGGACACGTTATCGATAGTTTGGTCTATGAGGGAGAAAGAGTTGGTGTCAATGTTTAGGACTGGTCGGATTGACACGTAGCTTTATCATGTTGGATGGTCGAGGACTGTGGGAAAGAAGACTCGCCTGCTTTGTTGGTTATTTCAGGGGGTTTGATGTTGGAATATATTCCGAATCGGATTCCAGGGTCGGATTCACCGCGTCAGATAATTTCCGTGGTGGGGGAGGAAGAGGGGCCAAGGCCATGGTCTACTAATTCTTTGTTCCCCGTGGACTTGGACTTGAATTTGAATTTGAATTTGGACTATAGACTCCTCGCTAGTAAGTTTCACTCTTCTTTCCCATGTAGTACGGAGTACAGCAGAAAGGTCCAAAGAGGTGTAGAACTCACAGTATGCAGGGGTAAAGGGCAAAGCTGCCGAAACTTACGGCCTCGATTTACTTTCTAATATTAGGAATGGTAGGCATACTCATTAGTATCAATATTATTATTTGCCACTTACCACCCTTATGACTTACCACCCTTATGGAGATTTAATTCTAATTACACATATTTTAAGTGGGTTGGGGTGAAGAAGATCAGCTCTAGATATATATCCACCTAAGCGAAGTACGCGGTAATGAAACCAAAGCCAGCCCATTCTGCAGCTAGCTCAATCCAGACTAATGGGTAGGTTGCCCCAATGTACTTTTTGTGCCTTTATTCGTCTGTAATTCTACTGGGTCCTCGTATCGCTCGGATGTCACTCTTGTCTAGAGAATTGTGGTTCACCCAACACAAAAGATAAAATAAATACCTCATTTGAATATGGGATTCACTTCTGTTCTAAAGATAAACCAATTCTGCAGCCTTGTACGGACTAGGCAAAGGGGGTAGCTGGATGGGCCAGGAGCTTGGACAGTAATGCGAGACATACAAACACCCCAGACCATCATGAGGTCAAGCACCCAGAATATGTTATAAGGAGGTTCAGCCTATTGTGTCAGCCAGTCAGCGTTAATGGCTTCCTCCCTCCACGCGTAGTGATAGGTGTCGGGTGATGCGGACCAGGCAACATGGATGGTGGTTGGCTGGATGGAGTCTCTTATCCAGCTTAGGGATAGATTAACTTCAACAGAAGGATGTAGACAGATGACATGAGTCGGTAGTTGGGACGTCACCGTGTTGAGTCAAGACGCGTGCGAATCAGAAATGACCAGCTTGACGCATGACACCCCTGGTTAATCACCCGCGACTGGACCGGGATCTTCATCTATTTTCACCCTGGGCGTCCAATCTCGCTAAATAAAAACCGGATTGTCTCAATTTATGATATGAAGAAGTCATTACTTTATATTTTATATTTTATATTTATATTTATTTAGATATATATATTTTTGAGAAGAAACTTAGGGTCACCGGGTGGTTGCGCGTGGAGGTGTGTGTACCTGGAATATTTTCACAGGTGCCCGGGAACTTTTAAGAAAGGACATTTCCTTCTTCTCTTTCCCTGATTTCTCTCAGAGTCAGAGTCGGGTTTTTTTCTAAGGAAATCTAAAGGAGCTCCACTATTAAAACGGCACATTCGTCATCCCGTTCCCCCTTGGATCTTAGTCTGAGAGCCTTGAGTCTGGATGTGAGAGCACATCGGAGTCCTCGGACTCAGAATTATACCTAGTAAGAGAGACTCTTTTTTTTATCTTCTTTTTCTCTTATTTTTCTCATTTTATTTTTCCCCCTGTTTCTTATTCTATTTTCTTTTGCAATTTCCTCTTTATTCTATTCTTATAATTTGGTTTAATACTTGGTGGAGCTTCCCACCCCGCAAGTGCTTAATGCACACTAACCGTCAGAAAAAAAAAAACCAAACAGATGCGAGACCATTCTCCCTCAGATTCTCCCTTTTCATTTTCATCTTCTTCATCTTCTGCATCTTCTCTTTATCCTTCATCACGTAGTAGTTCATTTTCCCCAAGTAAGTGGCTCAATTACCCATTTGGTTATCTTACCCATGTTCCCATGTTCCGGGTGTCTTTTCCCCTTCCACCATTGGCCTACCCACATCCCTACTCTATATTCTCAAACTTTCCCCTTGATATTATTAAATAATCTGTCGGCTATCGCGACACGCTGTCAGGCATTCTTCGCTAGACACGTGTGACATTCTCATTATGCTAATCAAAATTTAGACCTATCATCGGCCTCGCACCGGCGTCCAACATTCCAACCAAGAGATCATCTTGAAAGTCTGATCACCAAACACGGCTACCCCACACCTGTGTCACTCTCCTCTCTGCGAGATCTGACAGCCACTTCCTCTACTTATACTCCCCCTTCGCCACCTCGTCGGACCCGTTATCCGGATACCATTCCGATCGACCCTTTTGACTCGCTTACCTCATCCTCGTCCACGAGACCCATTCCTATTCCAAGACGCTCTGGTCCAATATACGAGGACCTCCCAGTGACACCTCTGACCGGTCGCTTTGATCACGACTCCTATTTTGACGATTGGGAACGCGCGTCTCAGTCCGCCAAGTCCCGACAAATCCCATCAATCCGGCCAGCCCGTTGCGGCCAGTATCCATCGCGGCCCCCGCCATCCTCGACAAGAATGCGTTCTGATAACTCACCTTACTACTCCCCGGCTGCCTCGCCTATCATGTCTCCACGGCGCTCAAACTCTCCTCAACCAACTCGCTCTCGGACCCAGAATCCATCCAAGACCAAACAAACCCAGAATTTCCATCTCGGCAGCCTGCCTCGGTTTCATCCCGCCGTATATCAGTCGAGCAGTACTTCTCACAACGCCACTGCTCAGCCTCAATCTCCTCGCCAATCTCGACAGTCT